TCAGGAAAACAGACCTTAGGGCGAGAGGCTGAGCACAATGGGGCTATTCAGCCTGGAAAAGTGTAGGCTCAGGGGTGATCTGGTGGCCACCTGTAAGTTTATCAGGGGTGCTCATCAGGATCTGGGAGAACGTCTGTTCACCAGCACCCCCCAAGGGATGACAAGATCGAATGGTCACAAACTTCACTGTGACCGATTCAGGCTGGACATAAAAAAGAACTTCTTCACTGTCCGAGCCCCCACGGTTTGGAATAGACTGCCACCAGAGGTGGTTCAAGCATCTACTTTGAACACCTTCAAAACACATTTGGATACTTGCTTGGATCCTATGATCCCTGCTGACTTCCTGCCCCTCAGGGGGCTGGACTCAATGATCCTCCGGGGTCCCTTCCAGCCCAAATGTCTATGAAATCTATGAAATATAAATCAGTGGTCCCACCACAGTAGTACAGATTATGTGAACAAGGTATGGATACTAAAAAGAAACCTTTTGAATGGTATTCATAAAATGTGAACGATTAGTATAAAAACTTTGCAGTGGAATGTGGTTTCAGTTTCAGTGTAAAAATGCATCAATTTCTAAGTTCAGCATTAACTAATTAAAAAAAAAGATATTTATTTAAAATGAAAAACTTTTAATCCAAAGTTGTAGAATGGATACAATTGTAATGTTGTGCTTTTTATTTATTTATTTTCCTACTGCTCACAAATGTGAAAGAGAGAGACTGCATGGAATCTTCATAATTGCCACGGTAGTCAAGATGCTTAGTTGTGATTCAGTCCTATAGGGTGGCACATTGTACAATGGATAAAATCACATGCACTATGCAGTAAATATTAGAAGGTATTAAGAGATCAGCATGTGCAAAATGTTATAAATTTCAGATGGTGTGTTGCAGTTCTTAAACTGGGTAAACATCTCCTGTAGGATTCCCCAGCTGGCCCATGAGCATGAAGCCAATACAGTTATTTTGGGGGTGTTGGTTGTAACTGTGTTGGTCTAAGGACATAGGCAGAAAAGGTTCTTTAGGTAAATGTGATATATTTTATTAGATCAGCTGAATAGTTGGAAAAATTGTTCTTTGTAAGCTTTTGGGCACAAACAGTTTTCTTCAGGCATAGGGAGAGTCTGCTGTTGTTTTGTGTTCTCCTGGATGGAATAAAAGCCAATATGCACAATGTAGGTCTGTGAAAATGCAAATGCATAGCAGTGAGGATCAGAGGCTATGGGAGACAATAGGTATGAGACAGATAGGTGGAGGGGGGCAGGGAAAGGGGGGAAGGTTGAACTTGTGATAGATTGTAGTTGGTAACATAGAGATGTTACCTGGAGTTATCGGATGGCAGGCAGACTCTAATGAGCTGTAAATCCAATGTCCTTATTTAGTCCATGATTTTTTTTGTAGATTTATGAAGTGAAGTTTGTAGGTTCATCTATGAAAGGCGTTTTGTAAATTCCCTTTGAGGATTAGAGCTGAGATTGGAGAGTGATTTTTTTGTGAGAAGTGTGCACGCACAGGTAATTGGGTATTTTTGTCTTTGATAGATTTTCAGTGTGCGTTCATTCTGATATCCAGTTTTGTTGTTTGGTTTCTCCTACATATTCTGGCATCTCCTACATATATGTGGTTCTGTTATGGTGTGTAGTTATTGTGGGAGTGGCAGAGCTATGTTGACAGGTTTTACATTTCTTCAGAACTAGCCATCAGACTCTCTCTTGAATACTCCAGCACCAACATTTCATTTTTAGACACCATGCCCAATATCCACAATAGTACAATACAAGCCACCATATACAAGAAACCCATGGGCAAACATACATATCGGCACAGAACGAACAGTCGCCCTAAACATACCAAGGAAGCTGTAATATACAGCCAAGCCCTCTGACACCAATGAATTTGCATTGAGATCACCCGTGATCATCACATCACAAATCTCAAAAGGGCTCCTAGCCACACGGGTCCCAAAACTGCTGGGGACTCTCAGCCCCAGTAGTTGTGGACTGTGCAGCTGCTAAGACCGAGAAACCCACAGCTGCAGATGCTGGGTCCCTGCAGTGCACCTCTCAGCAAAGCCCTAGGGCAGGAGGATTGTCACTGTGGAGATCTCCTGGACAGGGGGGAGCATGAAACCCCTGGTGTGGGAGCAGAGCCAGCCTTAGGGAAAATGGTGTCTTGGGCAAATAAGTTCTATTTTGGCACTATCCCCTGCCCCCATTTCAGAAATAAAGCTATAGTCTAATTGTTAAAAATAATTTACTAAAAAAAATGCAAAAGAGGAAATTCCACAAAAGTCACTTAAATTAAATTAAATTTTATTTAAAGAAAAAATTATGCAAATCATCCCAGGGTGAGCACTTTATGATGGATACCAGCAGTTGTTTGCCCAATTTAGCCAATGTGATGAGGGCATCATGGACTTTGGCTGTTTGGTACTGAGCAGCTTTAATGCTTTCAATTCTGCACTTCCAACATGTTTTTCATGCTGGCTTAGCAGTGACATTGGAAAATTCTCACAGATCATGTCAACAATGAACAGGGTGTTATTAACAAAGTCCAAGTATTTTTTGATCACGTCTGCATCTCTTTCCATTGCGGTCATTAACTGAGTTTTTCATCTCCTGTTCTATGACCCTGACATCCTCTTCTTAGGTACTTGTAACATTTTATTTCCTTCTAATTTTCATGGCCAGTGAAAATTAAAATGAGCATCCAGGCTCTGGCCCTACTTCTGTCAATGCCGCTGTGCAACTCTTGTACATATTACTATTCAGATAGATAAGGAAGTTAATGGCCTGTTGATGACCCGTTGTCTTTTACTTCACAGGTGTTAATGATCATCTCCCTTAGCTGCCTGAATAGTAATACCAGAGCTGCACTGCACCACCCTGCCCCCTCCTGTCCCTCCTGTGCCACCACTTCTGCTGGCAGAGCTGCACCACACTGCTGGTGCCCATGTGACCAGGGTGCCCTGAACCACCCATGCCTAAGTCTGATTATGGGTGGGGGGATTGCAGCTTCAGTGTTCTCCCCATCCTCGGGGTGCATGAAACCCCCAGGGTGGGAGGATCACCACTAATGCATTTCACCCTGGCCTGGGGGTGTGGGATATCGATGGAGCTGGAAGGTTACCACGAGGGTGATCTCCTGACCCCGGGGGTGTGGGAAACTCCCGGGGCCAGAGGATCACCACAAGGGCAATCCCCCTGCCCTGGGGGTACATGAGGCACCCTTGCAGCTTGGAGCTACTCAGTTGGAGCGTGGGGCTCCCAGTCATGAGAGCTGTTAGACCCCAACTCCAAGTGGCGCCCAGCAACTATGAGGATGACGATCCAATCGCTCATGGATCCTGTTACTTATTAGCCAGAGCAAGCAGGGAGCAAATGCTACTTGCATACATTGCTCACAACAGCTTTATCTAGAATGGAGACAGCTTCGGGCAAAGGTCCCAAAAAACCAACAAACTGGGGATTTGCACTGAACATTAGTTCTTTTTACATTTTATACAACTTGGTTTATGCTCATTAACATTTGTTCCACCTCCACCCCTCCTTTAGTTCTACCCATTTCTCTTCCCATTTTAAGCCCTGCCTCTGTTCATTGTTTACTTCATTAACATGGAATTGACTATGCATTTTCTTCATTTACATGCCTCTCTGCTAAGAGTGCATGCATAAGGCCATGAACCTGGCTTCTCTTGGTCACTTGCTGGTTCTTTCTGGTTTCTTGCTGACTCCTTTTTTCATCTCCAAGGTCTTGCTTCTGCTTTGTCTCCTGATGATAGCTGGTGGGCTGCATCTTGTTCTTTTTACACAATGGGCTCTAACACTACAACCTTGTTAGAAAACTGCTTGCCTAATCATTTGCAAAGTTATTTTAATACATCATTCTGCCTTGTGGTCAGCAGCTTTTGCTGATGTACAGATTAAAGCCTTTTTTCAGCTGCAAATCCAGTGCTCCCCAAAATCCAAATAGTGTCACCCTAACAGGAGCTTGCTTCTTACCAGCACAGGAAGAGCCTGGGATTGGGCTCCCCCTGCCCTGGCAATAAGGCATGATGGGATTTAAAGTATTATCCTACAGTTGCGCCTCCTGCCATGCACATGTGCCATGTCAAGAAGCATGATTGTGTGAATCACGCTTTAGATCCCATTGTGTCTTTATCTGTGTACATAGAAGGGGCCTAAGTGATAGCACTAGTGAAACTGTGTTTCAGCAAGGTGTTTGGAACTTGAAACTTCTCAAGGACTTGCCTACCTATAGTCAGCAGATACTGCGGCATATTCAACAAGTGTGTTAACCTTTATCTTTTAGTCAAAATCTAATTATGTTAGTCACATTGCCCACTTTAAGTTTAAATGAGAGACAACTTTCATTTTATTTCTTAGCCTTATGAAATGCACAAGGTGCAGATAGTAAACCATTAAGTATTTCTCCAAGAAATGATTGCATTTGGATTATAACTAACGTGAATTTTAATGTTTGAATATCAATGTTTATAAGTCCGAACTGCTTGTGTAATTTAGGAAAATCATTTGTGTTAAAATCAATGTATTCATTATTTCAGAATCTCTGAAACTATCACAAGGGTGTTATTGATAGGTGACGCTATATAACCTACATTCTCTCCAAAAATACTCATCTGCTAGTATTAAAATAGTCTGTTTAATATTTGATTAGCATAAGCTGTCTCATCTTGACAAACATTTATGTGCACAAGGGCATTTTGTCCTCAGTTATTTAAGACTAGCAAATTGCCCGTTATGAATGATGGACGAATTTAAAATAACAAAAACAAACAGATTTCACTTTTTATATGTATTATAAATAAAGTAAATATGTATAAAACTTAAATGAAGTAGGCTGAACATTTAAAGATATGAATTACTTCCTCATTCTCTGACTCGATATGCCACTGGAGTTAGTTACCTGATCTTCCTTTGGGTTGCTTACAGTTTGGTTAACCATCCAGATGTGGCAGGAATCAGTTATCACCACATATCTCCTTAAAGACTATGTTTTCGGTGAATATTTTCTCATCACTGTTTAAATATCCTTGTTTGTTTGTTACCAGTGAAATGTATGTTCTTAAGTTGTTTTTATTCCTGGCTCTCGTTAGGGCCACATACAGTTGTCCATGGGAAAACACTGGTTTTGGTAAGTAGAGTCCAACAGAGTCAAAAGTTTGTCCTTGTGATTTATTAATTGCTATTGCAAATGCTATTATTACAGGAAATTGTCTCCTTTTTAGAATGAAAGGTAGTTGTGTGTCCAATGGAGCCAAATCAATCTGAGGAATGATGATGCAATCTCTTATATTAGTACCTGTAATTATTTCAGCATCGAGGAAATTTTGGTGTAATCCTCTTATTTATCAGTCAAGTTCCATTGCACAGTCCCATTTTTGGATTCATATTTCTGATTAACATAACAATAGCACCAATTTTCAATTACAATTCATGCTGTGGTTGTCCTGATGGTGTTTGCACTTTTAAAAATTCAATGAGATAAGTAGTTTGATTTTTTTGAATCATCCATGATCATAGAATCTGTGCTGTAGTATTTTTTCATTTAACCAGGCAGCAAAGTTATAATTTCAGTATTCAATTCCATGGCATGTTTATTTTTAGGAGTTATGATAGTTTTCTTCACAAGGGAATCCAAGTTGCCTGCTTTGATGTGTTTCCCATAAACTGCTGTGACAATGGACTCCATTTCAATAAAGGTTTCTGGTATTTCTATTAGATCTGGTGGCAACCTATAATCGTTCGACATAGTTCCTTTACCAGTTTTAAGAGTCCATTCATTCAATTGATGTTGTCCTTCAGTTCTCATACTTTGTGATAATTTGATTTTGGTAAAATGTGACCACAGATGATTATTTTTTATGCATGCCTCAGTCATCTTGGTTCTTGTAAATCTTACTGTGATTAGTAATGTTTGTCTGAAGTATCCACCTAACAAAAGCATTTTTCCTTCAAAGGGTGTATCATTTTGCATAATCTCTTTTAACAATAAATCAATGCATCTAAGTGCATGAGTGTGCATCTTAGTGGCTTCATCAGTTATAATTAATGTGGCCTTTTTCAGGCTGGCAGTTTCAGGTGAACGTAAGCTCATATGTGAAGTAGATGTTTCAAGTATTGGGATAGGTAATTTGAAGCCACTGTGTATTGTTTTTCCTCCTTTTAAAAGAGCAGCTATTCCCATTGTTGCAAAAGGGAGAACAATTTGTCCAATTCCTCTAATGTAACTTGCGAAGGTGTTATATAAGTAAGTTTTCCCATATTCTCCAGGTCCATACAAATACAAGCAGTGAGTTGCACTGTCTCCATTTATAGCGGTAACAATTTTATCAAAGGTATATTTCTGTTGTGCAATGAAGTTTCTAATTCATTGTTCTGCCTCTGCGAATTCTTTGGCGATGTTGTAAAGGGTGTCATTGTTTTGTTCAACAATCACCCCTGGGTCAGGGAGACTAAAAGAAGTACAATTCAGTCCATGAACCATCAACAATTCTTGTACATCCAGCAATGCCTTTTATACTGCCATGTCAGAATTGTGATGTCTTCTATGGTCCTCTGTCATGGCATCCCTAAATTGTTTCCATAGCTGAAATGCATTAGATGGCTTACAAAATATGCAAATGAATGCAAACATCTGCATCAACTGTCTGACCCTTCGAAGTCCAGCTGCTTCCTCCAGACAGTGGCTCCACTTTTCAGCATTGGCCAGCAAATTTCATTGTCTTGCTGCTTTTTGAAATGTATTGCAGATGACATTGTTAATGGTACATACTTCTTCAAAGCGGGTTCCTCCATGGATGTGCAATAATAGCATTCTTAAACAGAATCTTTTTATATCAGTTGGATTCACTGAATACATCCTAGGGAGAACTGTGTCCACCTCTTTGTCTTCTTTGCCAAACACCTTTTTGAAAAACATAATGGTATGGAATTTCACAGTATAAATACTATCACAGTTCGGGGCAATTGTGATTTAATGAAAACCAAACATTTGAAGTTGTTTTTGAAATGTCTGTGTCGATGGCCTCACATTCATGTCCTGGTTGAAAATATACTGATCGTTGGAATGGCAAATAAACTGCTAATCTAATGATTCCATGAGATCTATCATGCATTATGGTTTTCCAGCACTGTCCACATAGCCAATTACCTCGATGCAAGGTATGTGACACCATCAGAGACTATCTCATCATGTTGTAGTCATTGATTATTTACTATTTTAATATTGGTGCAGTCATACCCTTTGTAAACATATTTAAAGATATATTTGATGGACTTTATCAATGTGCATACTTCAACATTGATATGACCATTGTATTTTAACAAAAGATATTTATTGTATGGAACGATATAATGGCTGTCTGCTGTGTTTTTGCCTACTTGGATTGTATGCGTTTAGCTTTTTTTCTATAAAGAATATCCATTGACATTGGCTATTGTTTCTTGTTGAAATTGCTTATGAAAATCTTTGGTACACTTTCCCTCATTCATGCATCATGAATTACTGTTGAAAGTACCACATGGTCCATGTATCATGTATTTTTTCACTACATCATTTTCGCAGGGCACTAAGGTGCATTTTCCTTTAAGGGGTGAAATGGCTAAGGAGAGAGCCCTAACAGTCAGTTAGGAACCCCTCAGCTGCCAGTTACCATGGCAGCAGGAATGAGGGCATTAGCCCACACCTGCAGGTGGTCATTGGCATCCAAAATATAAAGCTGGCCATAGGATCTTGCATCTACTTCTCTAGGCTTGGGTGATAGAATTGTCCATGGCCACAAAAGGAATATGGGCTCTGTCCAAGAATGGGTACAATTTTTCCTCCCAAAGATGCAAAACTTAAAGAACTATTAAACAACTAAATGTTGCTCTGGAAGTTCTCATAAAACATATGTTGTGGGTTGCTCATGACCCATTTCAATAACAAAGGAAATTCATGATGGTCAGGCAATCTCACTTTTCCTTTGTGACAGCAATTTTTAAACTATCTGATGGCTGGTCAGCTGTGAAGTTTAACGTCCCCGACGGGCCTTCGTAGAACCGTACTAGTAGTGTAGCTCCCCGTTCGGGTGACCAGCCTCTGCACCGAGCATTGGTGTTACTGCCATTGAGTTGTCTTTCCCGCTTCACCAACCCTGATTCTCACCTGCCATGACTTCGCTGTTATCCCAGTGGGGCGGGGCTAGTTCAACGGTCCCTCGGTGTCCCGGGTTGGCCGAGTCAGTTACACACGGGGCTCCAGCCACCCCTACACCCCGGCTTCACGCCACCTGTGGTCCTCACCTCCCTGCACCGACTCAGTGAAGTGCCTACAGACTCCTCCCTCACTTGCGTAGGTGTCCCAGCCCTATCGCACGGGATACTTCCCACCACCGGTTTGTCACCTGAACCCTCAGCTGTGTGCTTCCTCCCTGTGATCCCTCTTTCAGGAGTACCTCCCTGACCTACCACCCGTGCCCTTATGATATTGCCCCGGAGTAACGTCTCTTGGCTGGGTATACCGCGCTGTCCCCTTTAATCCTCAATCGTCGCCTTCTATTCTTGGCGGCGACCCCGCCCCGAACTCTCTCTCCAGCCCGGTGCATCTTCGGCCTCACCCTCCTCTTCAGCACTTCCTGTGCCCCCGGCCACAGCACTTACTTCCTGCTGCTCGGGATCTTCCTGGGTGATCTTGATCCCCTCTTGTTCCCCTGCTCTGGCGCCACAGGTTCGCTCTGCTGGGGATCCAGCTATCCCGCCTCTTCTCTCGGCCACCGGACACTCCAGCTCTTTGGCTCTGCAGCTCCTGTCCAGCTGGGCTAACGACAGGGACCGTCTTCCCTGCCGTTCCTTCTTCTCTCCCTCCGCTGCCTCCGGAGCGGCAGCGCCATTTTTAAATCTCCCGGCCGGCGTCTGACGTCACCGTCAGCTGCCGGCTGCAGCTGTACATAGATGCGGCTAAAGAGCCGCGCGGGCTCTCCCTCCCACACAGCGTCCTGCTCTCCTGGTAAGTTCTCCTGGCTTCTGTGGGTCCTGGGACATTTAAAGAATGACAAAATTGGCAAATGACATCCATTTTACCATAGTAATGCCTTTCTACTTCTGACTTTCTTAACAGATGACTGTCTCTTATTTGGAACTGTCTTTGTTGTGTTCTTGCAGAGTGAACAGAGTCTAACTGTCTTCTCACCGCAGCATGTTCTTGGAACTCATTTGCCTAGCTTTCTTGATGTTGTGTGGCATCTAAATGTCTTTGCATAGCGCCCTTTTCCTGAGACTCACTTGGACGATTTTGTTGATGGCATTCTGCATCTACTCATCTTTTGACCGTGGCATTTTGATAGGACTCAATTGTGCGCCTTTTTTGATTACATCCTGTATTTAATTCTCTTTGCACAGCAGCCTCCTCTTGCGATTCATGTTCCCAGCTTTCCTGATGTTGTCTGACATCTAATTGTCTTCTTGTAATGCGTTCTTCTACCGACTCATTTTCATAACTTTGTTGATGGCTTCGTGCTTCTAATTGTCTTTACACAGCAGCCTTCTTTTGGGATTCAGCCGCATGGCTCTCTTGGTGTTGTTGCAAGTCCAGTTGTCTTCTTCATGTAGCTCAGTCCTCAGATTCATTGTCTGATGAATGTCTTTTTCTAGTTGCATCTAATTGTCTTTTTTTAGCAGATTGTTTTTGAGTCTGGCTCTGTCTCCAACATTGTTGACACTCTTTATTTTGATGATCTTTTCTCTCAGCAAGAGATTTGTGTCCCATCGTGAAACACTTGTAGAGTCTGTGACAACTTTTTTGATGGCGTTGGGCATCCAATTGTCCTCTCACAGTAGCCACACAATAGCTGGGAGCTCAGCTCCCTCTTTTCCTCAGCTGGTCCCACTGCTAATAAATTGCTCTTCCCAATTTCTTTATTAGTGACTTGGACAACGGGGTGAAAAGCAGCCTGTTTAAATTTGCTGATGATCCCAAGATTTGGGGTGAGGTGGGCACGCTAGTAGGGAAGGACAGATTACAGCAGGACCTGGACAGGATACAGGGGTGGGCTAATGAAAATAGGATGAGTTTCAATCCTGACAAGTGCAGGGTGCTGCACTTGGGCAGTTGGAACCAGCAGCACACTTATAAACTGGGAAACTCCCTTCTCAAGAGCACGGTGGCAGAAAGAGATCTTGGAGTCATTATTGACTCCAAGATGAACATGGGCCTACAATGTGAGGTCACGGTCAGTAGGGCTAACCATACATTGTTGTGCATCCACAGATGCATCTCAAGCAGGGCCAAGGAGGTGATCCTCCCCCTCTATGCGATACTGGTCAGGTCACAGCTGGAGTACTGTGTTCAGTTCTGGGCGCTGCACTTCAGGAGGGAAGTGGACAGCATTGAGAGGGTCCAGAGGAGGGCCACCCATGTGATCCAGGGACAGCAGGGCAGACCCTATGAAGAGAGGCTATGGGACCTTAACTTGTTCAGCCTTCACAAGAGAAGGCTGAGGGGGAACCTAGTGGCCATCTATAAACTCACTAGGGGGGACCAGCAGGGTTTGAGAGAGACCTTGTTCCCCCTAGCGTCCCCCGGGGTAACAAGGAATAACAGCCACAAGTTGTTAGAGAGTAGGTTTAGACTAGACATTGGAAGGCACTACTTCACAGTCAGGGCAGGTAGGATCTGGAAACAACTTCCAAGGGAAGTGGTGATGGCTCCTACTCTGGGGGTCTTTAAGAGGAGGCTTCATGTCTACCTGGCTGGAATCATTTGAGCCCAGTTTTCTCTCCTGCCCAGGGCAAGGGGTCAGATCTGATGATCTACAAGGTCTCTTCCGACCCTACTTCTATGAATCTATGAATTGATTTATTTCCCAGGTGTGGAAAAGGGACAGAGCGAGCCGCCACACCGGAGGCTTGAGGAGGTGACAGCTACCGAAGAGGGGTTCCTGATTTTCCTCAGCTGGCCCCACCACTTATAATGTGCTAATACCAATTTATTTGTGATGGGGGGCACCTCTCAGGGCCAGGTCTCATGCCAGTCCGCCCACCTGTCTCTGTGGGGCAGTCTGCACAGTCTCACCAGCCACAACTTTGCTGTTCCCATAAATTGGTGGTTTAATGTGGGAGGCTGCCCATTCCCTGCCCCAATGCCAGGGTGTGCTATCTGTGGCTCTGAACCTCCCCTACACTGCAG